GGGGTCATGAAATGAATAGAAATTTTTCAAAGACGAAATCCAAATGGCTAAAAGGCACATGAGAAAATGCTCCACATCATTAATCATCAGGGAGATGCAGATCAAAACCAAAATGAGATATCATTTCACACCACAGAGACTGGCCCATATTCACAAGAAGAAAAGCAACCAGTGCTGGCGCGGATGTGGCGAGAAAGGGACACTCCTTCACTGCTGGTAGGAATGCTGACTTGTTCAGCCCTTTTGGAAAACAGTATGGATGATTCTCAAAAAATTAGAAATTGAGCTCCCATTTGACCTAGCAATACCACTCCTGGAAATATATCCCAGAGAGGAAAAAAGTATAGTCGAAGTGACATCTGCACTTATTTGTTCATTGCAGCACTCTTTACAATAGCCAGAACCTGCAAAAAACCTGAATGCCTGAGAACAGATGACTGGTGAAAGAAACTTTGATACATTTACACAATGGAGTACTATGTAGCTGTTAGAAAAGAGGAAATCATGAAATTTACATACAAGTGGTACTACATGGAAAGTATCATGCTAAACGAAATGAGTCAGAAAGAAAGGGATAGACACAGAAAGATTGCATTCATCTGGGCAACATAAGGTAACAAAATAGGAGACTAACACCCAAGAATGGCCGAGATTAGTACCAGGAATTTTACTCAATGGCTTGGAGGCCAACCACATATGCTAGGGGAACAGGGAGCTCAGATAGAGAAGGAAACACCAAATAAAGGGTGTTTGGAGGATCCTCCCAGGATGGGAGAAACATGCTGAAAGTAGACTATAGACCAAACTTGATTGCCACCCATTGCCTCTTTTGCAAACCACAACACCCAATAGGAAAGAGAGAATAAAAGTGAATGCCCTGCCACAGAGACTGGTGGGATGGGGGGGATGGGAGGTGGGAGGGATACTGGGATCTGTGTTGGTGGGAAATGGGCACTGGTGGAGGGATGGGTATTTTATCATTGTATAATTGAAACCCAAGCACAAAAATTTGTAAGTCTACAGCTTAACACATGATGTATCACTAATAAAAATTTTTTAAAAAATGTATAGTCGAAGTGACATCTGCAATTGTTTGTTCATAGCAGCACTCTTTACAATAGCCACAATCTGGAAAAAACCTGAGTGCCCGAGAACAGATGACTGGTGAAAGAAACTTTGGTACATCTACGCAATGGAGTACTATGTAGCTGTTAGAAAAGACGAAGTCATGAAATTTACTTACAAGTGGTACTATATGGAAAGTATCATGTTAAGTGAAATGAGTCAGAAAGAAAGGGATAGACATAGAAATATTGCACTCATCTGGGGAACAGAAAGTAACAAAATAGGAGACTAACACCCAAGAATGGCCGAGATTAGTACCAGGAGGATTACTCCATGGCTTTGAGGACAGCCACACACGCTAGGGGAAAAAGCAGCTCAGATAGAGAAGGGAACACCAAATAAAGGGTGTTGGGAGGATCCTCCCAGGATGGGAGAAACATGCTGAAAGTAGACTATAGACCAAACTTGATTGGCACTCATTGCCTCTTTTGCAAACCACAACACCCAAAAAGAGAGAGAAAACAAAAGGGAATGCCCTGTCACAGAGGCAGGGTGGGATGCGGGGGGATAGGAGGTGAGAGGGATACTGGGATCCGTGGTTGTGTGAAATGGGCACTGGTGGAGGAATGGGTATTTGATCATTGTATAATTGAAACCCAAGCACAAAAATTTGTAAGTCTACAACTGTACCTCATGATGTCTCACTAATAAATATTGCAAACCATAACGCCTTAATAGAGAGTAAGAGGGAAATTGTCTTCCATAGAGGAAAGGGAAGGGGTGGAACAGGTCGGGGGATACTGAGGACATTGGTGGCAGAAAATATACACTGGTGGAGGCATGGGTGTTCGAGCATCGTATGATCGAAACTCAAACATGAAAGCTTTGTAACTGTAGCTCAGGGTGATTCAAAGAAAATTTTTTAAAAAACAGAATCCATTATTCTATTTGTCGTATTGTATTTTGCTTTTAATTTTTACAAGCACTTATCTAAATAAAAACACAAAATCTTTTTATTTCTTTTTTCCCCCATGTGCCTTTCTGGTTTATCACTGTATCATCATTTGTCAATTGTATGGCTGCTTGTGCATATTTATTCATGAAGAAAAGATTGTCCTCTGCATGGGCAGATGTATCCCATACACAAGTAACTCTTAGAAGTATATGTAATACATTTGTGACTAAAGATCCCTGTCTCTAGGAAGTTTATATTCTGAGACAGATAAGGAATGACAACAAGAAGAATAATTAAAGGAAAATTCTGTAGAAAACGAATGAGGCTGTAGATAAAATAAAAATGTAGAGAAACCTAAAAAACAGCACTGGCCCAGAATGGAAGAAGAGTAGTAAAGAGGAAAAAAAATTGATGTTGCAGGGCCAGTTAAAAACTCGCTGAGAAGTTTCCATGGAAACATAAAGAGCATCCACGGCTGTGGGAACAGCAGTGAGGTCGAAGAAACAGCAGTCAGTCCAAGAGAACAGCAGTCCAATTGAGGGAACAGCATCAGGGCCAAGGGAACAGCAGTCCAATTGAGGGAACAGCATCAGGGCCAAGAGAACAGGAGTCATCCCGAGGGAATGGCAGTCAAGGTTGATGAAACAGCCGTCAACACCAAAGTAAGAGCAGTGAGGCCGAGGGAACAGCAATCAGGCCAAGGGAAGAGCATTTAGGCCGAAGAAGAGCAGTCAGGCCGAGCGAACAGCAGTCAGGCCAAGGAAACAGAAATCAGTCAAAGGAAGAGCAGTCAGACCAAGGGAACAGTAGTCAGGGTAGAGCAAACAGAGGTCAGGCCAAAGGAAACACAGTTAGGACCAAGGAAGAGCATACAAGTGAGGGAACAGCAGTGAAGCAAAGGAAACAATTTACAAGGCCAGGGAATAGCAGTCAGGGATGAGGGAACAGCAGTCAGGTAGAGGGAACAGCAGTCAGGCTGAGGGACCTGCAGTCAGCTGAGGGAACAGCATTCATGTGGAGGGAACAGCAGTCAAGGCCAAGGGGACAGAAGTCAAAGCCAAAGGAACAGCAATCAGGGCTGAGGGAACAGGAGTCGAGACCATTGGAAAGCAGTCAGGCTGAGACCGTAGCAGCGAGGCCAAGGGAACAGCAGGCAGGTAAAGTGAATTGCCATCAAGACCAGGGAAACAGCAATCAGGGCAGTGGGAACAACAGTCAAGGCTGAAGGAACAGCAGTCAAGGTTAAGGGAACAGAAGTCACAGCTGAGTGAACAGCAGTCAGACTGAGGGAGGAGCAGTCAGGCCAAGGGAAGAGTAGTCAGGCCGAGGGAACAGCAAGTCAGGCTGAGGCAAGAATGGTCAGTCCAACTCAAGGAACAAACGTCGTAGCTCTCAGAACAGCAGTTAGGCAGATGAAACAGTCAGCCAATGGAACAGCAGTCAGGCCGAGGGAACAGCAGGTAGGCTGAGGGAACTGTAGTCAAGGCCAAGAGAACAGCAGTCAGGGAATGTAGTCAGCCAAGGGAACAGCAGTCAGGGTTGAGGGAACAGCAGTCAGGCCGAGGGTAGAGCTGTCAAGACTGAGGTAACATTCTGACCCTTTCATTCTAACTTCACTCACCATAACATACTCTACCACTATGCATGTTGCTGCAAATTGCACAATTTTTCTCTTTCTTGGACCTGCATAGTGTTTCATTATGAAATTATACCATAACCTTGATCTATTTATCTGAATTTGAGCATTTGTATTATTTCCATATCTTGGCTATTGTACTATGAGCAGCAATGAACATAGGTGTACATATAACCTTTTGCATTAGTTTTTGTATTTGAGGGATAGAAACCAGGAAGTAGTATCACTAGATTATATTGGTGCTGTATTCCTATTATTTGGAGAAATCTCCATATTGCTTTCACTGGAGGAGGAGCTAGATGGCATTCCTACCAATAGTGAATGAGGGTTTCTTTCTCACCACAATCCCACCAACACTTGCTATTTCCAGACTTTTTGATATGTACCATTCTCACAGGTGTGAGATGGTTTGTCATTGTTGTTTTGATTTGCACTTCTCTAATTATTAGTGTCAGTGAGCACTTTTTCACATGTGTGTTGACCATCAGGGTCCATACACTCTTTATTGATGATCACAACAAACCTGTGATCATCTTCATACACATTTATAACCTAATTCACTTATAAATTATTGAGTTCCCTGCTCCCAATTTACAGGTGAAAATGCTGAGGTATGAAAAATTTTAATAATTTTCCAAGCTCAACCTTTGTATATAAAGTACTCATAGAATATTAAACCCTATCGACCCTATCATCCAACTCTATCAAAAGATGGAGATGAACAGAAACTTCCACAAAGAAGAAATGCAAATAGCCATAGACATGAAAAATGTTTTAGTCAAATCTCTGTTTTAGTCAAATCTCTTTTGGAACAAGTCAAACTTGGAGAAAAGGACCACCCCATGCTAAATATAGATGAAAATTTCCAGCTTTCTGTCTGAGTTACTTCATGGCAGAAAACGTCATTCAGACCAGGCAAGCATAATTAACAAGCTCATAAAATGAAGTAGCTTAAATAAAAGAAAGTATATTACTTGGTCTATAGTGCTAGTCTCTTCAATCCAAGATAGAAATGAATTTATAATAACCTTACCATCTACTCATGGCATGCTGCATATTTCAAAGCATGTTGGTATAGTTATATTTTTTAAATGAACGTAAAATAATAGGGCTTTCTAATGGGCAAAGAGTGAGTTGAAGTGATAAAAGACCATAGCTGATTAGAATTCAGAGAAGCTTGAAGCAACTGGGGAATCATTTGGGTTTTCTTTGGATGAATCATAATATTTAAAATTCAGGGGGCTTCAAAGCAGCCCTTTCAGGATGATCATTCTAGAACCTAAGTCAATGACCAAGCACAAAGAATTACCATTTTCCTCTAATTACCTTCTTCTTTTTTTTTAGACCAACCTGACAGAGCTAAAATCATTTGGTTCTCCACCTCTAGCTGTCAGCAACGTCAGTGCTGCTGTGATGGTACTCATGGCCCCCGGGGGCAAGGTGCCCAAAGATCGTAGCTGGAAGGCTGCCAAAGTCACCATGGCCAAAGTGGATAGTTTCCTAGACTCGCTCATCAATTTTGACAAAGAGAATATTCATGAGAACTGCCTCAAAGCCATCAGGCCATATCTGCAGGACCCTGAATTCAATCCAGAATTTGTTGCCACTAAATCTTATGCAGCCTCAGGCCTCTGCTCGTGGGTTATAAACATTGTGAGGTTCTACGAGGTGTTCTGTGATGTGGAACCTAAGCGCCAAGCATTGCACAAAGCCACATCGGAGCTTACTGCTGCCCAGGAGAAGCTAGCAACGATTAAAACCAAGATTGCTGTAAGTGAACGCAGAATTCCACCTCCTCACCCCGACTTACCACCTTTATTCCATTACCCAGCAGTCAGGAGGCTAGATTTTAAGTAAAAAAAAAAAAAGTTAAGTAAAATCATTTGATTTCTCAATATAAACAGCTTTTTCAATTTCTTAAATCCTGTATAGTCCAAATATGACAATGTTCATCAGACTTTAAGTCTGCTTATTTCCAAAGATGATGAAAACAGGTTTTCTCAAGATGTTACTTTGTCATGTGGATTATTTCTAATGTAGTTCAATCAATATAATGTATATTAATATTTACATTAGTTGTTGGTGTGTCTATATCGTTTTGTTACACATGATTTTATAGCATATAGATATCATACGGGCTGGAGCGATAGCACAGCCTTTAGGGTGTTTGCCTTGCACGCGGCCAACCTGAGTTTGATTCCTCCATCCCTCTTGGAGAGCCCAGCAAGATACTGAGCGTATCCTGCCCACACAGCAGAGCTTGGTAAGCTCACCATGGCGTATTTTGATATGTCAAAAACAGTAACAACAAGTCTCACAATGAAGATGTTACTGGTGCCTGCCCGCGCAAATCAATGAACAACGGAGGACAATGCTACAGTGCTACCCCTATATTCTAAAAAGTTTCTCCTTTTCTCTAAGAAAAAATAATACATATGTATGATAGATTATAAGTTTTATTCACAGAACCAACTGCTATCCTATTATCCATAAAATAATTAACATTTTGCAAACTTGGCAGTTGAGAACAAATGGTCGAAATTTTCAAATTTCTTCTCTGTCCTTTTGCTATGTCGGGCTTAACTGCTTTACCTTATCCTTCCTATCCAGGACCACCAGTCAACTGTCAGCTCTCAGTCGTATGAATATTTGAGCCTGTTGTTTATGTTTCATGCAATCTGCATTATCTTAGTGAAGCTTTTTAAACAAGGGCTATTTTAAGAGTTCAGTAGAGCCCAAGCACCTTCCTGTTCGTCCTCAACACCACGCCCAGTTTTCTCCCACTCCCAGGTTAGTGAATAATCGAACCCAGGACGCCACCTCCCCCACACCCACGCCCCAGGCGTCCTCTTGGACCCTGGACCGCCCATCCTCCCCGAGCACCTTCCTGATCATCCCCAACACCGCACTTGGTTTTCTCCATCTCCCAGGTCAGTGAACAATCGAACCCAAGATGCCACCTTCCTCATGCCCACACCCCAGGTGTCCTCTCGGAATCTGGACTGCCCATCCTCCCAGAGCACCTTTCACATGGTACCTGTAGGGGGCGTGGCCTCTGAAGAAGTGGGCATGGCCTATTTTGGGATCGATGGCCACAGTTATATTACCCAGACCCAGCAATCTGGTCTCACATCTCAGTCTCCACACCACCACAACAACCTGAAGAAACAGCGCAAATCCCGACCATGAGAGGGCGATGTAAAGAATCCAGAAGCCTCAATAGGCATTACTCACAAATGTGAGCTTTCCGATAAAGAATTCAGAGATGAAGTAATGAAGATGCTCACTAAACTCAAAGAAATGGTGAGACAGATATCCAGTAAATTAAAGGAAGACATGAAAGAAACAATGAATCACATAATCGAGAAAATAGGGAAAGAAATGAGAGCAGGAATAGGAAAGCTATGCACAGAAGTGTCATGAATAAAGGATTTGGTAGATGAAATAAAAACTTACTGTATGCCCTCAACAGTAGAATGGCTACAGATGAAGACTCGAACTGGAAGATGAGTTGCAGGTAGCCTACAGGCAACAACAAAAATGGGAAGAGACCTCAAAACAGCTCTAGAGCAAATCAGAGTCCTAGGGGATGATTTCAAGAGGAACAACATTAGAATCATTGGAGTACCAGAACGGCAGGGAAGCTATCCCAATGAAAAAGCCACAGTTAAAGAAATCATTGCTGAAAAGTTCCCAGAGCTGGACAATGCATGCATCCTGATTCAAGGAGCCCGAAGGGTACCAGCAACCAGAGACCCTAACAAAAACACTCCAAGCGACCAGAGACCCTAACAAAAACACTCCAAGACATATCATAGTTAGAATGATCGATACTGCCGATAGAGACACAATACTGCAAGCAGCAAGGTCAAAGAAAGAAATCACATACAAAGGAGCAACCCTTAGATTCACAGCAGACCTATCAGAGGAAACCCTCCAAGTCCAAAAACAATGGTGGGATATAGTGAAAAAACTCACTGAAATGAATACTTCGCCAAGAATACTTTATATGGCTAAACTCTCACTCAAACTTGAAGGAACTTTACACTGTGTTGTAGATAAAGAACAGCTAAGGAACTTTATAGACACAAAACCAAACCTGAAAGATGGGCTAAAGGGGCTAAGGTAAGACAAGACAAACCCCTACAAGCACAACAGACCCTTACAGAAAGATGACAGAAAACCCCATAACAATAATCTCTCTCAACATCAATGGTCTAAATTCACCAATCAAGAGACACAGAGTGGCAAAATGGATTCAGAGACAGAACCCAATATTCTTCTGCCTACAAGAAACACATCTGAACAGTCAGAACAAACACAGAATCAAAGTCAAAGGATGGAAAACAATCCTGAAAGCAAACAACCCCCTCAAAAAAAGCTGGGGTGGCCTTACTAGTATCAGACAACATAGATTTCAGATTGAAAAAGATTAGAAGGGACAGTGAAGGACATTTTTTATTAATCAATGGATATGTACAGCAGGAAGAAATCACACTCCTAAACATATATAAACCCAATGAGGGACCCGGCAAATACCTACAACAATGGCTAATGGACCTTAAGAAGGACATTTCGAGCAACACAATAGTAGTTGGCAACTTCAACACTGCCTTATCACCTCTGGATAGATCTACAAGATCAAAACTCAGCAAGGAAATAATGGCTCTGAAGGAAGAAACAGAAGACAGAGGGCTAATAGACTTATACAGGACTTTATATCCCCCCCCCAAAAAAGAATACACATTCTTTTCCAGTGCACATGGAACATTTTCCAGAATGGACCATGTACTGGGCCACAAAGCATACCTCAACAGAATCCGGAAGATAGACATTATATCAACTATCTTTTAGACCATGATGCGCAGAAGATAGAAGTTAATCATGTACAAACACAGAAAACCACATCCACAAGAACAAAAGCAACCAGTGTTGGTGCAAAGTGATGAGAAATGGACCCTCCTTCACTGCTGGTGGGAATGCCAACTGGTTCAGCCTTTTTGGAAAACAGTATGGACCATTCTCAAAAAATTAGAAATTGAGCTCCCATTTGACCCAGCAATACTACTCCTGGGAATATATCCCAGAGAGGCAAAAAAGCACAGTTGAAATGACATCTGCACTTCTATGTTCATTGCTGCACTATTCACAATAGCCAAAATCTGGAAAAAACTCAAGTGGCCGAGAACAGATGACTGATTAAAGAAATTTTGGTACATCTACACAATGGAATACTATGCAGCTGTTAGAAAAGATAAAGTCATGAAATTTACATACAAGTGATTCTACATGGAAAGTATCATGCTAAGTGAAATGAGCTAGAAAGAGAGGGACAGACATAGAAAGACTACACTCATCTGGAGAATATAAAGTAACAGAATGGGAGACAATCATCCAAGAATAATTGAGATAAGTACCAGGAGGTCTGCTCCACAGCTTGGAAGCTGGCAGCACATGCTAGGGGAAAGGCAGTTCAGATAGAGATGGGAACACCAAGTAAAGGATGTTTGGAGGATTCACTCGGGATGCGAGATGAATGCTGAGAGTAGACTACAAACCAAACACGATGGCCACTCAATACCTCTATTTCAAACCACAACACTCTAACAGAAAGTGAGAGGAAAAATGACTGCCCTACCACAGAGGCAGGCTGGGGTGGGAGGGGATGGGGTGAGAGGTGGGAGGGCTACTGGAATCATTGGTGGTGGAGAATGGGTACTGGTGGAGTAATGGGTGCTCGATCATTGTATAACTGAAACCCAAGCATGAAAGTTTGTAAGTCTACAATTGTACCTCATGGTCTTTCACTAATTAAAAAAAATTATACAAGATAAGAAATAGTGTCTATGCTATAACTGCCACTTCTATGTCTTATAATATTCTTTTTAGTAAGAAAAAAACTGTATTAATAGAAAAATTAATGCTATAAAAATCACTTGCAAATCAAAAAGAGTTCACTAGAGCGTATTACTTTAACAATAAATATATATTGTGAGGTCATTGACCTTTTAACATAATAATGACATTTTTACCATATCACCTCATCTAGGATGGATGAGGATGGTGATTTCATGTCCAACCTATTTGATAGAAATTTTCCTTGAACTTACTTTATCTTTAACATGGAGCAATTAAAATAAGTCAAAAACGAACTGGGAGCAGTTAAAATTTCATCGGCAGATATCAGTTCCAAACAAAGCAGTGATACTAAAATGTGTAATCTTTATAAAAGTCTATAAAGTGCCCAGATATCAGTTTTATAAATTAAATAGCACCATATGCTCTCTTCATGAGACAGCTAAAAGGATAATAAAAAGAAAGCATCATCCCAAAACCTGATCAAAAGGAACATGGGCAATTGCTTGCGACTACTGTGGTCTTAGTGCCTTTTCTACCCATCTTGGTTCTTCTTTAACTACATGTGCTCACACACATTGAATACTGCTAAAATTCTGAAAATCGATGACAATTGTAATCAAGTTTAATTCCAAAGTATTTCCATGATCTCAGTGCATTCCAAGAAACTGAGACTTTATCTACAAATTTGTCAGGTAAAACAGATTTTAAAAGTTGTAAAAAGATTGTTGACTTGCTGTGTGCAACATATTTTATTTTTTCTGAATACTTTTGAAGTAAATTCAATAGTTAAAGGTTGTAGTTCAAGTATCCTTGCAGTTAAAGTCTCTACAAAATAAAGATATATTTGTTAAGCTAATAATTTTCTCTCTATACATTTGCCTTATAAATCTAGATGTTCTTGAACAGTTTAC